TGAACATTCGCCAGTATATGGGCATATTCATTCCATTGCTTATTCTCTCCAGGGAGATTACGTAGCTAACATACCCAACAACTTTGTTGACCAATCCCCGTTCTTCCATAAGTTCCAAAAAGCTCTTTCTATTGCCAGCCTTGATTTCCTCTGCATATCCTTTCCACGTTTCCTCCGCCTCCCGCATCCGCAGGATATGCTTTTGTGTGATATTGCGTGTTTGGAGCAAAGAGGCTGTCATGATGCTAGAGGATTTCGCTCCTCCTAGTGACATTCTCCCCACATTGGCAGGCTGCGATCGGAGAAACATCATGAACTGGGGGTAAGGAAGCATGGAGAGCGAGCAGGCAGGGAACGACCGAAATTGCGCCATCATTCGGATGAATCGATGGCGGAGTTAAGAAAAAACAGACATGTTGGAATCGCTCAGTGATCTCAGGCTACTTACTACCTTATATCAATTGGATGCGTAAATAACTTCAACCTTCGTTACGATGTGAAAAAATGGATGTCTTCCTCAGACTAAAAGGTCTATCCGAGACTTTACCTCAAAGTTTGCTTGTGGACTGTGGATCAATGATAGCCCGGTTGGCGCTAAAACTCCCTATTAGACCTGAGAAAACAAAAATTTAGACGCTTTGTGCTTTATCCTTCAACAATAAATAGACGCTCTTCTACTCTGTACGGATGATGGAAGTTACTCAGTTGGTCTAGGATCATGCAATGTCAAAAATAATTCAGAAATATGAAATTCACCAAATCGATATAAACTTCTCAAGCGTCGAACAACCAAGTCTTGAAATAAGAAACATCACAATATCAGACCCCAGTCCAATCCCAGCACATCCCGATTGACCCAGGCGAACTAATCAGCAAAATCATGATTCAACTCATAAAAATCTGAACAAATACTTCATTGCTCCAACCGCTAACTAAACCCAACTCCTTCCACGCGGTCTCAACATCAATAGCAAGCACTGTCTTCCCAGTCCCATCTTCCGCAGCCTTCAGCTGAACAGTGTGCATGGGGACCACCTGCCCGTGGAGCAACACCAGGAAGTTTCCCTCCACAGTGCGACAGGTAGAATCAGATATATATATACCCAATGTTCCCAATGCCTTCAAATTAATGTTAAATTTGAGCCTGCTATTAGCGATAAGGAAAATATCTGAAGTTACAATAGCAGCAACTCCAGTCATTTTGCCCAAGAGGCCTAGAATAGCGACATCTGTGTTTATCGTGGCACCTCTGCTACTTGTTTGTCTATTTGGCATTTTAAATGTCCTGACAGGGAACATGGTTAAAATTTCCCAGCCTTTTGTTTCCAGAGATACGGAAACCAGTGAGGCTTGGTCTGAAGGTTTCATTATTGGCGAGATGGCGCCAGAAGAATGTGCGCGTATCACATACTTGTCATTGCTACCAGGAGAAATGCCTGGGAAATCTAGGATGGAGATTAGTGAGGTGGTTTTTCCAGCGCCGATGTTGAAGAGGCCTAGGATACCACTTCCAGTTTTTGCCCAGCCTGTGTAACATCCTACCCTGAGCATCTGGCCTTCGTTGTAATTGTGGTATACGTCAATTGAGGTTCCTAGAACACTAGTCCGAAGAATAATAGTGTTGCCTTCGGTTGTCGGAGCTGTCATCTGATTGATAAGGTTGATATCGTGTTCACCCGGCACATCGGTGATGTATATGGGACCGCCAGAAACACATCTAGCTGCTGCGTGGAAGGATGCATACGGGTGGCTGGTCTGGAACATGTCCCAATCAGGGATCACGTTAAGATGCCGTGTAAAGAGGGCGTTATGTGCATTACAGAAAACGTGCCACGGGTGGGACGTGGAGACATCGGGAAAGAAATCGTCAGAGTTCCTTAGGAGAATCCGTGGCTTGTTTGTCGGTATCTGGGAATGAAAAATGATCTGTGGCGCTTGCGACATGCAGCTGATTGCTTTGGCTTGGAAATAACGCAGCGACGCAATGGACCACGCATCTTGATACGCCGTCGTAAATCGGATTCGGTCGGTGGGATCCTGCAGCATGTCGAGGAAAAATTGCGCATCGGTTTTGACGGAGTCAACTCCAGCCTCCAAAAGAAATTTAT